GATTCCCTGGAGTGCCCAACCCCAGACCCCAGATTCTCCCTCGAGTGCCAAGCCCAGAAATGCCCAACCCGCCCACAGACTCCCTGGAGTGCCCAACCCCACAGACTCCCTGATGTGCCCAACCCTGAGACTCCCGGAGTGCCCAACCCCAGAGTGCCAAGATCAGAGTTTCTGGAGTGCTCAATTTCAGAGATTCAATTTCAGAGAAGTGCCCAACCCACGCTAAAGTGCCCAGAGACTCCCTTCTCCCTGGAGTGTGTAACCCCAGAGTCTCCTTGGAGTGCCCAACCCCAGAGTCTCCCTAAAGTGTCCAACCCAGAGACTCCTTGGAGTGCCCAACCCCAGAGACTCCTGGAGTGCCCAGCCCCAGCTCCAGTCCCAACCCCAATTGCAAGCAAAAACTAAGAAAGCGTATTTATGTGTCTTATTCGCGCTCTTTCCTTTTAACGAGGAGCAAGGTGGGGATGTTCGAAGTAAAATATTTGATGTTTTTGGCAGATGTATAGACATGTACCATAGCGGCACTAGTGACGACCTGTCCGCGGAAGATATCCGGAGCCCATTTTCCCAGGACCTCCTTCAAATTTCCAGTGAAGTGTTCGTGAAAAGCCAACGAAAGGCTTTTTGAGAACTCAGCGAGAAACCGGTAACAATCAATCAGTCTAGAAATAGGTTCACCCGACAAATTCCAGCACACTTGATGAACAAATCGCATGACACTCCGCAGCGAGAGTGCTCTGTTTTTCCAGAGCGTTCGATGGTGAGGGAAGGCTAGAACCCCTGGCCAGGCCATCCTGAACGGGGCGACGATAGAGCACAGGGTTAGAGACAGCTCTTTCAGTTCTTCGAAAAACTTATCATCTGAGCATCCTTTATGGCTCATGACTCCGGTATCCCCTTGCGTCCTGGCTTCCCCGAGTGCTTAGGTGGTTTTAATCTTGAAGCCTTTTCCCATGATACATACGAGGGGTCGAAGGAATATGCTTGTTAGTTTTATTTTTCATTCAAATTCGATATTCCCGTTTTCAAGCAACTCCACAGAATCGTTGGGAAGGGTTAAGTCTTGTTTGTGATCGTAGAGGCAAGCTCAGTGAATGTGGCTTGCTGTTCTAAGGAAAGGTCCAATGTAGATCTCTTTTGGCTTCGAACTTTGGGTATGCCTGGCCGGGTACAGCCTCACCCAATATCCATATAGCTGTTTTTGTTTATCGTGTTGAGGATTTGTTTGACGAGGAAGGAGACGGCCCCACTATATATCTCAAAAAGCACAATTAGTGCGTGACAAACGAAGGGGCCCCTCAAAACTGGAAGACGAATCATTCGGGAGAGGGGAGATGGGAATCCATCCATGAGTACGTAAGTTCCCAGCATGCGAGAATACTTCGAGCCTCGCTTGTCTTCATTATTTCGGGGTCTTCCAAAGCCTCGCAACAAGCTACTTGAAACGCAGATATCTTGGCCCTCATTTTCACGGGGGCCTGGTCAATGTCTAGTATAATTTGAGAAGTGCACTCCCACGGTCCCCCGTTTTTGTATACTTTCTTGGGCTATATTATCCCAATACTGCCACCGCGGGGACGAGGGAATGCATTTGTTTGCATGGACCCCAGAATTCTGGGAACAGATGCTAATGCTGCTCGGGCCGCAGCCACCGCCAAGGGAAACATGCTGAGACGGCGGACTTCTCACCGACACCGCCGTCCGCCGCTCCCATCGCCTCGGCTCACTATGGATGTGTACTGGAAACGCAGAAAACGTAGCGGTGTGCGTGAAGAACTCAGAACTCAGCCGAATGGCGCCTGATGTTATGAATGAAGTACTCCGACCCTAGCCTCCCAACCTGAACCTGGCCTCTTCTTGCCTCGAAACGCGGGTGCAGACCATCCCTTTCGCCCTTCTTCTCTGTGGGTACTTCTCAGTGCCGAGGAAAGACGTCACTGGTATTGGGTCCCTGCGACCTCCTCTTTTCCATCACTCCGTGCCAACTTTTCTATCGCCTTGTCTCGCCGCCAGCAGCAAGCCGAAAGAAATTGAACCACCTGCCGCTGTACTGCTTGAGGTTCTAGGAGGAGCTTGGGCTTCCTAACATGCACAATACAAGGCACTAAACGCGATGTAATATTTTTGTCTTGTGTTGTCTTGGGATCTGCAAAGATTGGATGAGGTCGACGTAGGTCGACCAAAAGGGCAAGGGTTTTGTAGAATTTGGTTGTAGAATGTGGTTGCAGAAGGCGCTGGCTCAGCTCCCCACCAGCCCCACCAGCCCCGGACCGCGGCACTTGTTGTGAGATTGAATATGTACATGCAAAGGGAGAATATCATGGGACAAGATTTGAGTGCGGGAGGGTGACAACGTAGAAGTCAGCATTGCGCATTTTCATGGGTAACCCAGTCAAGGTGACAATAGGTGGAAATTTCGAGATATCAGCGTGCTGAGGTGTGCCTGCAAAGTCCAACTTCCCGGTGCCAATCTTCCTCGGGGAGACCGGTCCAGGCCGCATCTTTTGGAGACCAAAGGATTTTGAGCCAAAGGCGGCCCCTGTGGAAAAGTCGTGCAACGTGCAGTGATAGGCGGAGCCGAAGCCAGCGACTTGGCAACGCCTCGCACGAACAGGACTGAAAATCTTCGAGATAGGAACCGTAAATTGGCCCCCAAGCGGCCTAACTTGCGTTTAAGTCTTCCTTCTAGTCTGACTAGTGGGTTGTGTCATGCCATCAGCACACCTGTGGCAGGACGCTTTTCGTGCACGGGCGCTTCTCAGCGTGACAAAATTACGTCACAAGTCCGTGTTGCTTGGACATGTCACTATGCTGAGCGGTGCGACCTCGGGTCGGGGCAGAGAAGTTGAGAGCAGGATCTAGCATGATCACTGACCTAGTGAATCTGTGTGAATAGCAATGGCATGGCCTTCTTTGCCTGAGTTTGTTTCTGACGGCTTCAACCCCCCATGGCATCTATGGCCAGCTACACTCTTGGCGTTGGGGCTGCATGGCGGTCGCTAAAAAGCTTCACTCTTTGAGCTACCCGCGAAAGCCCACAAGACAACTTAGAGGTGATCCACTTTAAACTGGATGAATCTCCGGCATTCAGAAGGGCGGAGCAGTACACAAAAAGACCAGCCAGTGCCCTTGCGCAGGCCAAACTGATTCCGATTCCGAAATTTGGACCGGAGGACACCTCCTGGATAGAGCGATTGCGCTTTGATAAATCATGGTTAAAAGTTGGAGACAAAGCCAGGGAGGCTTTGGCCGGCAGGCCAAAGCCTTATGGGTTTTCTTTGATCAACGGTGGTTCTGCGCTAGTCGCCATCTCATCTCTCATACTTCTTGAGGGGAAGCTGGCTTGCGGCTCCTCATTCATCACACGATCCCGCATTGAATATATGACAAACTTTGCCTGATGTGTTGTTTAAGCTTATGCATCTTCATCTGAAGCGCCACTGCTAGCCTCGGCATGTCTACGTCGGACGATTCGGGATGTGTGTTTGCAGCTCCTTGCGAGAATGGCAGTTTCAATTGCCAAATGAGGCGGTGCAAGGCATGGAAGGCCATGAAGGCTTTCCTTGTGGAACCTCAACTGGAGCCTCTGCTAATCCTCCAAGTTCTCTTCCAGCCAGCTCTCATTGACAAGTCACATTGCCTTTGCCAAGGCCTGTGATTTGACCGCTGCTGCATTGCCACATCTAGAGCTAGGCCTTATCACTGTGCATCTCAACATCCATGACCCAGATTCCTCAGAGCAAGTGCAACAAGCGCGTTGAGCTGGCGAGGGCCCTCGTCCATTGAGATGGTCTGTCCTAGCATATCACTCACGCACGTCCTGTTTCCAACAAGACGGCAAGGCACCTTATGGGTAGCTTACTGGTGCCACGTCTTCGCATACCCTAGCACATGATCAAGATGCTGGGTATCGGCCCATTTGTTTGAGCTGGGTCTGTGCTGCAGGTCATGCCATAACTGAGACATGCTGACTCAGCATAACTGCATGTAACTGCAGTAGCTCTGGAAACGCACACCAGCTCAAGCCGCTTCGGCCCAGGGCGTGAAGGCGTTGCGGGGTTTCAGTTGGATCGTACCCGCACCATCTTCCCTGCAGCATGCAGAAATGTGCCGCTGCACTTCTTCCTCCGATCCAACCTTTTTGCACAAGATGTGAGGAAAGTGATATCACATATCTTCGCACTTTCAGCCGGATCTGATGAGCTTGAAGCGGTATCAGAGAGAACCTGGTCTCCCGCTGTTTTGCCGGGCTACAAGTGTATCGTGGGGCACGAAAGTGGAAGTGTATGGAGGCACGGGCCCTGGCCGCGTGCCGTCCATTTGCCGCAACCGTTTCACTTCCCGATGGTGAAGGGGTCTTGTCTTGGAGTTTTGCTGGTTTTTCGGTATGAGATCGCGTCTAGTAGCAACATGCTGTGCAGATCCACACTTGTCCGGGCACATGCGAAACTCCTGTTGGACTTGGCGGCACTGGCGCCACTGCGCGCCAACAGGCAAAGCGCAAACTGGCGTGCCTACGGCTCGGCATGTCTCCGATCGAATCTAATCTAGCGGAGCGCAGCCCCTCAAACTTGAACCAGCCAAAGTGTGATGATGATGGGCGATCGTTGGGGACTTTCAGCCTGCAGTTCAGAGCTTCAAGGCACTCAGCATGCCATAGCCACTTCGGGGGTAAGTAATTTTAGAGTGTCTTGGATCTGTGTTGAGTAGTGGTTCGGCTGCATCTTGGCTTTGTTGACCACACCGGAGCTTGCGAGCCGCAAAAAGTTGCAAGAGTGAACCAACTCTGGTGCGTTGGCGGCAGTAAGAACGCTATTGGGCCATGCCGCAGTACTTGCCCAAGTCTGGTGAGGGATGTACTAAGGATGAAAAGGATGAACTCAAACGCAGTTCCCCGAAAGAGTTAAATATGCTGTCCCTTGTCTGATTCAGATTTCCAACCATCCGGCCGCGCAGCGGTTTGTGCATCTCAGTATAGGATTGAGAACATTGGTTGCACCATGGAAATCCCGGTGTTCGCACCGGCTGAGCTGACCAGCAGACCGGCCATCACATGGGACTTGACCTCAGCTGGACAGCGAGCTGTCGGCTCGCCTAGCAGGCTAGCGTCTAAAGTTTCCAGCAAGCTCCATCACAGCTTCTGTGTTTCGTTGCAGCACGTGCAGTCGCTGCAGTGGCAAATGGCAGCAGCTGTGTACGAAAATCTCACGGATAATTCTTTCGGGTGAAACTTGTGGTAATTGTTTTTGGTGTTTTGTGTTGCTGATCTCAGGGCCAGACGGAGGAGACCATCACTCTGTCGGTGCCCGCTGCTCGTGCTTTCGGCTATGCTTTGCTTCACTTTGCTTAGAGCACCGGCAACAGGTGCCATTGCCACCAGCGTCAAGGAGCCCTGTGCGTTCATCAGCTTGTTTTCCAGCCCTTCCTTACACTTGCTTATGCTTTTCCTTGCCTGGGGTATGCTCTATTATGCTCTTCCTTGCCCCATTGCCCATTGCATGTGACACTACACGAGAAGGCCATGCGTCAGCTTCAAGCCTCGGCGGGTGGTCATAACTACCAAGCCCTCGGCGGCCTCGGCGGGAACCTTAGGTTTTTGTGCTGAGAATCGGGACCAAACTTCAAGAGTTCAACAAGTTCATGAAATTTCATAGACGTTTTCGATTTGGGTTTTTTGCGCTGATGCGCGCCGCCTCGGCCCGGCAGGGATCCCCAGCGCAAGGCACTAGGTCAACAGGGTGCGGCGTAGAAGGATGTAGAAGGACTGCACGGTGAGTCGAGGTCCCTTCGGCCCAAGTTCCGGACTTCTTTTAGGGTCCTGTGCTCTTCATCGCTTGTCTAGATGTTCCTAGATTCAAAGGCCCCTTCGCAAGTGAAAGAGGTCCAGAATCCTTCCCGAAGGTTTGACGCCGATGCGGAGAGGGTCGGCGGCGGTGAAGCAGACGGCACAGGGTAGTGTCCATCGATGTCGATCGCGAGAGCTCACACGGCCCGGCGTCGGCATGGAGGGATGTAGAGGGGAGGGGGGGTAGATGGGTGCGGCCCCGGACACGTACGGGAATGAATGCAACCTGGCAAAGTTAGGAGAAGCAAAATGGCGTTTTGCTCTTCGTGTTCTGAGCACCTAGCCTTCCTAGGGGACAGTATATCCTCTGTAAACCGGGACGAGGTCTGGGCTTTCTGCTTCAGCCGAGTCGCGCAGTGCACGCAGTGTACGTAGTGACATGCACGAGCGGCAACTTTGCGCTTTTGTGTAGTGCTCAGCTCGAGCCAGCTCGAGCCTAAAAGTTTGAGTCGCGTTTGAGTCGGGAGGTTTGTGTTAAAAAACTCAGCCATTTCGGCTCAGCTTGAGACAGTTGCACGCAGGTGGCCCTTTAGTGCCTTCAGTGTTGAGCGCATAAGCCGATCAGACCGAAGCGTAGTCATGGCAGCTTTGTTACCTCCGACCTCCTGGCGCGCGTCATCTTGTCTGTGGCGGTCATGGCATCCTTGGCCGAAAACGTGGAAGAACTCGATGAAGCCCTCATGGGTCCTCTGGGGAAGGCGTTCAAAGTCGGCGAGAACTTGACAATTCAAACTGTTTGCGTTGGAGCTCCCAGTTGTACGGGCTAAGCCGCAGCGCCTGACGCCGCTGCCACCGCTGGCTCAGTACCTGCTACCCCAGCCATTCGCAAAAGTGGCGGGGTGTTGTGCGCCCCAACTCGGCGCAGATTCAGCTTCACTCACCTTGTAGCGATAACCCACCCCCAAGCTCGAAGAAGGCATCCACATAGATGACGCTCCTGCTGGTCACATGAAATTCGAAAATGCGAGGCTTTGCGTTGGCAAAGCAATATCTCAGAAACGCCATCGCCGCCCTTAACGCCGGCCCAGCACCATTCCCTTTCCTGAGCCGGAAAATGAATGGCCTGTGCTCGCGCATGGAAGGGTCTAACGGTCTAATTGCTGCCGCGCACGACTTCCCAAACAAGGACGCAGAGATGAACTGTAGCTTGCCTGCAAGTGCTGACGCATCCCTTGGCTCCCAAACTCGTCAACAAAATGCAAAGCTGGCGACAGCAAGAGGCACCTGCTCAACCAAGCCAGAAAGTCGGCAAACCGGCAATACGACCACACCGATGCTGTACTTCCGAACATAAGCATTATGCCCCCATAACGTTGGGCCACTTGGCATTTGCAAGATGACGTATGTCTGCTGCGGGTCGGCTACTGGGAGCTGGCGGTAGGCTGCATCGTGGTCGACGCCCCAAGTGCTCAATGAACCCTGCACGCGCCTCTTGATGACTGCTGCAAGCTTAGCAAAGTCTTCAACGTCATGATAAGCTGGCGTGTCAGGAACGCCAACGGTCCTATTGGCTCCAGACTGTCTCCAGCCCTCTGCCCGCCGGATTTTGGGACGTCCATCGGCTCCGACCTGATGAACAGCAAACGTCATGCAGCCCGGACCACCATGCGAGACGGTTGGCAGTGTGCACGTATCCCGAAAGCGGCACCATTGATCTACCCCAACACGCTGGCGCAGCAAAGGGTCCTTCGCCAACCGCACGTCTGCCGCAATCTCTGCAGCCATGGTTTCCCCTGCTGCATCTACTTTGCAACGGCGAAGCTTGCCACGAGTGTACTCTAAGTTGTCATTCAAAAAGTCGTTCACCGGCAGCGGGTTGCTGTATCGCCGCGAAAGCTCGTCAAAGAGTGAATCATCTGGCCACTGCAACCTTTGCGCCAAGTACCTGAGCACCGGGACCTGAAGAGAGCACTTGCGCTCGTTGGACTGGTAGGCTTTCCGCACAAAAGCTGGTCTACTTGCAAACCACGCATCGACTTCTTGTGCAAACTCCTCAGCTAAGTCAAACACGCCACGCACAAAATCCCTGCGCAACTGCCGCCAATGCAACCGCAAGGGCAACCAGTGCTCGATCCCCGGTTCAACTTGCGGCAATGGCCCCAAAGTCTGTCTGCGATCGAAGCTGAAGCGCCATCCTCCAAGCAGTCACGTCCCAGTACATGGGCAGCTGCTCCAGGCGCTGCGGTCGAGCCCGAACCTGCTTGCCCCACCAGTCGAAGTAGCGATTGATGGCCAACTCGGCGCCATACTCGACAAGGATCAAACAGCGAATGGACTCCAGGCAATCCAGAAATGCAAGGGTGCTCTTGGGGTGCCACGGCGCCTCGGGCTCTGCTTCGAGCTGGTTGTCCTCGTTCACAGTGAGCATCGTGCTGACAGCTTTGGTCTTCTTGCGAGCAGCTGACAACGGGTTGGGATCCCCCGCAGCGTTGAAAAAGCGACTTTGGACCACTTCATGCAAGCCGATGGCAGTTGCGTGAGCGCGCGAGACTCGTTCAGGACCCTAGCCGCCCTAGCCACCACAGTCTCCGCCCCCAGACAACTCTGCGCTTTTGTGTAGTGCTCGGCTCGAGCCTAAAAGTTTGAGCCGCGTTTAGTGGAAAGGTTGTGTTAAAAATTTCCGACACCCGCCCACTCCGCCCATACTGGTGGGGTGGCAGGTCAGGCCTTCTGGGCTGGGCAGAGTCCCCCGCGGGTTTTGTCCTTACCTGTCCGCCGCCTGCCAGTGCACCGCTAAAAAGAAACCGCTCTCATCGGGGTGCTTCGGTTTGTGTCTTGTTGCAGAGTGTGAGCTCGATGTCCAAAAGAAACAAGCCCTCAGCTTCTTGTTTTAGATGACAAAACCTTTTTTCTCGAATCAGGATCCCCGAGCGAAAAACTTCGCCAATAAATAGGGGTGTGCTCGATATTCTTATCCTGAACTTCGAATAATAGCGGGCAAGGATACTAAAACGGGTGCAACAATAGGCCAAGGCAAAAATGGGGGGAGGGGGGGGGTCCCCAGGTGTCCTCTGGATATTCCCAGTACTTGTGGGTGTTGGTTTTGAGGGGGCTGCCTTGGATTTGCCTTGAGCATGTGAAGGGCGAGCGCCGATTTTACACCAGTATTTGTTTTGCAAGGCAGAAATCATGAAAGCTAGCTGTTTAAGAGTTGAGGGAAGATGCGAGATTTGTCGAGCCTTCCCCAGATGTGAGTTTCACAGACAAACCTCTCACATGATAAACATTCTTGGTCCGCTGTCCTAGCCCTCGTCCCAAGTTGATGATTTTGATGCACGCCTGCACCAGAGGCCTGTGGTGAGAGGACTGATGCTCCCGCAGAAGAACCGCTATTGGACACTGAGCTCTTTGGCGAGGTGTCCACGCAGGAGCACACTATCGCTGTACTCGTAGAGCGATGTAGGTTTATACATGCTGTTGGTCGGGACCATTGCACAGGATTGGACCTGCAAATGGAGCAACATCTTGACGAGGGCTGGATGCATTGCACGGCAGGCACAAGGTCAAGAGATGACATGGATGACGAAGCCATCTGCCAAGTCTGCAGCTCTGCAGACGCTTAAGGCAAAAAACAAGTCACGCAGCTAAAAGCATCTTTGTCGAAGCCTACCGAAACGATGCCCTAGGCAATGCAGAACACGCAACTGTGCCTGCGGAAGAAGGGTAAGTAGAGCGCTCAGGGCCCCGTGGTGTGGCTGTGGGGGAAGTTTGGGAAAGCAAGGAGGGTTTAGGGTTGAGGCCCCACCACCCTGTGCTCGGGCGAGCTCATGGTGACGTATTGCGATCGTCTGCGATTCTCACAAGACACCAGAAAGACTCATTGATGCCAGCAAAGGCTTGTCTCAGCCTGCATCTCTTTCGGTGGGAGGAGAGCTTTTGGAGCTTCGGCGATGGAGTCCTTGTCGTTGAGTTGGCGAAAAAAGCGTGTGAAGGCGCTTAGCTGAAATTTAGCGACTGTTCCTTCCATGCTGTTGAATATAGCTTGGGAGCGATGAGCGCAAGTAGCAGAAAAGCCGTTCTTCCAGGCAATATGCCGCGCTCCCTGCTCACTTTTGGCAGAGGCTTTGACCTTGGATGCAAAACCACGCTTGCATGTGCCAGATGGTGGCCCTCGGCTGTGCCCAATGGGCAGCAAGGCCCTTCGAAAGCTTCTTGCCTGCATTTGCACTGGAGACATATCAGGAGACCATGGACTTCTGAGCCAACGTATGCCCATAGAAAAGTTATGCTATGCGACTAGTCAGTACGACTATGGACGACAGCGAGGCCACGTCGGCAGGAGCATTCGGAGCACACACACTGAAGAACAAACCATGCCGCGTCAGGCTGGAGGGCCAGCTCTGCAGAAGCTGGATGCCAAAATCGGCGAGCCAGCCTCGCAAAGTTCGGGGCAACTGCATACTGTAACGCCGGTTGAGGGTTTCAACATGAGCTCTTCCTGATTCCAAGTTGTATCCTTGCACCGCCAGGCAAGTCGTGAAACCCGTGGATTTCGAAGGCAGAAGCCGCTTTCGATGGTGACACAAAATGCGCAGAAGAAAACAACAAATGCATTTTCTGAAGAATGCAATTGGTCAGTGCGAGCATGCGCCATAAAGTCGCTGCCATTCCGTTCGACGCAGTCGTCTCGGTTCCGTGGGGGATCCGAGAGTCCTCCAAAAGCTTGGCCGATGTGGGCAGCCCATGGCGCAGGATTGTTTTCAATGTCTTGACATGTTTTGACATGACGATGCACTGGAGCTGTGCGAGTTTCCCATGGATGCAGGATACGCCGTGGTCCAAGCTATTGGGCTCGGGACAGGCCGGCTCATTCAGCTTCCCATGGCATATGGCTATGACTCATTTTGTGTGCGCGCGGTGGAATCCTAACTGGCTTTGTTGTGCATAATTTTTTCACGCCAAAGCGGCTTACAGCAAAGTCTTTCATCAAGGTATGACGTGTCAGCATCCTTTTGTCACCAATGTTGCTGATTGCCCAATCCATTCCGCTAAGTCATGCCGGCCACGCTACTTAAGAAATCCATGAGGGTGTCCCAGCGCTGACTAGACACAACATCTTCAAGCCCCAAACTGCGCAACGCAGTATTTCTTCATGTACAAACAAAAGCAGGTCTTTCCTAGATTTTCAGCACGTAAGATGTTCAATCAACGTGAAATTGTTTTAGTATGTCTTAGTTATAGTTCAGAGGAAATACGAGCGCTCTTTCAGGCTTTAAGAACGTACCGTGTTAGCGGTTCTCAGTCGTCTGAGAGCTGGGCCGACTACGCGCGGGAAAGTGGCATCCAAGCAGGAGGACCGGCCGACGAAGATGACCGCAACGACAATATCACGGGAAGATCGACAAGCGGAACAGCGCCCCGACAAGGAGAACTGCAGAATGCGGGATGTCGTTGCCGACCAATGCTTGCCTACAGTGATGCCTGCCACCTGCTCTTAGTCTTGTGTGGTCGTCTCGAAACTTGCATAGCCAACAGCTTTCGCCCAGAGCAACCCGTGAGCAAAAGACCGAACACCTGTGCGCGTTTTTGCCGCGTGCTTTTTCCATTCAGCTAGCCTACTTTTGGGTACAGCCGTGTACTCGAGCAAAATGCATCTAAAGGCCGAAGCACGGCATTCTCCCAGCCTGACATTTAGCGATATCCCTTTGACCATGTGAGTGCTGGAATAACAGGCCTCTGGCGTGGGTGTACCAGATGATTGCGTGAGCTCAGGCAAGACGCACAAAGAAGGTGAACAACTCCGAGATACAGTACTAATTTATGTTGAAACTAGAGGCAAACAGCATGGCATGGACGCGAGTAAACCAAAAAGCCAAAGAAAACGACCGCAGCAATACGCACAATAGAGCCGAAAACGCCGCAACAATCCCAAACAATCCACAGCGACCCTTCCCCAACAGCAAGAAAAAGTAAGCACTTTCTACTTTTCAGTGCCTGAAACAAATACATGTCCTAGAGAAGAAACCATGAAGTTTTTTTTACAGTAGAACACCAGCAATAGCTTCATGGCCACAGATTGCACTGCACGATTCTCAGTAGACAAGCGAACTCTATATAAGCACGCATCTTCATACAGGCGTCTCAAAGCGTTTTTATGTGTAATCAGTCATGCCAAGTATAAAAAGCGCACACATGCCAAGCGTGGTCAATCGTGACAGCCTCTAATGTGCATGTTTGGCAGCCCCACTCCAACTGCGGTGGCTGTACTTCCATGCTCCCATTGCTTTGCCTCACCTTCATTAGAACGTGTAGATGTTCACAGGCGCGATCTTGGGTGTTGGTCGTGGTGGGCGTCCTCATCTTGCTGAGGCCGCAGACCGAACACGTGCAAGTTTTCAGTCAGACACATGGGGAACAGTCTGCATTTTTCTGCTGATTCGGTACCGTCGTTTCCGTCTGAATATCCGAATTCGACGAAGTCTGTGTCGTGAGATGCTTGCGGGTTTCCCTTGACCCGAGATGGTTGCCATAACGGCCCATGTACCCCTCCTGCTCTGCTGATGCTTGACGTTGGAATCTCGACAACAGCCGGATTAGCCTGGATGTTCATTTTGCGGTACAGCAGGGAGGCAGGGCGTGCAGGGTGCTGGGTAACAGACGCTTTTCGTGCCCGGCGGCAACGTGCCAGAAAGGTGTGACTCGTTGGACAATGTTGGACATAGTTTACTGTCGTCACTTTAGCAGCATGTCGAGAGAGCTTGCTGACAATTTCCATCCTCGTGACATCTTGTGGCTCTTCGCATCTCTTCGCCTGAGTCACGAAACGAAACCCCTCAACCCTTCATCGCGTGACACAGCGCGGACAGCCACGACGATGGCGGCTGTGGGGTCGCCCTCCTCGGTGTCGTTAGTCTGAAGCTTTTGTGATGCTTTGTGTGCCCAACAAAAGCATGTTGATTGTCAGAATACCTCAGGTTGTTGAGAAGCGTCAGGGGATTTCAGAGGGCATTATGAAGCTGGCGAGTGGGAACAGGGCCGTGGATGCCTTTCACAGCGCCTACTAGCTGGGTGCATGTGCGGATGTGGTGGACTTCAGGCTACCTGACATCAAGAAGCACTTTTTGAATCTTTTTGAAATAACTCGCCATTGCGATGGACCGCTGTCAGCTCCATCGGTCGTGCTTGGCCTCAAAGCACAAGGTAGATGACACAACTTGGCATTGGGTTCGGACCCGGCCAGGCATGCCCTGCTTGGACCAAAGTCTCCCTCCTCTTCCCTGTTCCCCTTTGGGTTGTTGGGTTGTGGGCTTGTCGAGTGCGGTCCCAGGCTGTATTTTGAGTGCTCCAATTGTGTGGCGCCTGTGAACGCCTGCATTTCTGAGTCCATAATGGTTCGGGCCTTTCGCTTGCATTCCTTGCGCAAGTGTGCCGCGCCACGGCTTCAGGCTCGGTGCGCATTTCGATGTGCTCTGCTGCCACCCATGTCTCGTTTCTCCTTGAGATCACCTGTGGGTCGGTCTTTGGTTTGGGGCACCCCGGCCCCAATTATTTAGTAAACTGTTATTCCCCACCCTCGGTATGGGGTTGTTAGGTATCCCTGGAGCGGCACCACCTGCAGAGAAACCGCAGAGAGAGACGCGCCGTGTCCCGCCGAGTATCCCTGGAGTGCCCACTTTAAGAGAGTTCCGCGAAGAGTACTGCACTAAAAGCTTGCAGTGAAGTATCCTTCATTTCCTGTTCCAACGGCATGATGGCTTCCACGTCAGGAGGTGTGGATGATCGAAGTAGAAGATGTTGTCGTGGTGTGTTTTTTGTGTATGTGTACATTGTGTACATAACTTGTATGTGGGTCTGTGTGCGCGTGTGCATGTGTGTGTGTGTGTGTGTCTCTGTCTCCGCTCCGTGTGTCCGTGTTTGTGTGTACGCGTGTTTTGTGATAAGAATTGATGGTGTTGCTTTTGGGTTGTTTTGTTTGTTCCTGTGTTTGTCTTTGTTTCTTTGTTTGGTTCTGGCCATGGGCTTGTTGATTCTATGCCCCTGTTGTTCTGTTTGTTTATGCACATTGTGTTTTCTTGCTTTAGCTTGTTGGTGTGCACCTTGTTCCACGCCCTTTGTGGTCTGGTTTTATTTTTGGTTTGGTGCTTTGCGTTTGTCAACACTCGTCCAGTGGTTTGCCATTGAGGCGGTCGGTGCTTGTGCCTCCTTCCCTGACCCCCCCCAGTGGTTGTTAACAAATGTCAAGAGAAACGTACTAGAGAGGATGTAGAGGCTTATTCCTATTGCACATTCAGATCGAGGGTAGAAGTCAAATGGAGTTCTTCTTGGAATGTATAGAACAAATGCTAACAGAGCTATGTGAATTTAGGTTCAGGGTTTAAGTAGCTTGTTTGGTAGTGTTGTTATTGGTGTTGTTGTCGTGGTCATTGTTGTTGTTGTTGTTGTTGTTGTTGTTGTAAGATTCTGGCCCAAGATGAGGATTTTATTTCTCGTAGCCGTAGCGAGCTTTCTTGGGTGCCTGGGTCCCAAGTCCCAGGGTCCAGCCATGGATCAGAATCGAGGGTTTCGGGAAGTAGCGCCCCCCGATGAAGCTGAGCAGCATGCGCAGCGAAGTCAGCTAACCATGAACAAAACCGGCAAGCGAAGCTACCAAAGAGCTTGTAAAGTTGCCCTGGCGAAGGGAGCAGCACTTTACAAAGGCCGTCTTCTGACAGCTCAGGCTCTAGGAGCTCATGAAGGACAATTCGCGTCTCCTGCGAAAGCGGAGAGGCGTTCTTTTCAACCGAACAGACAGATCCATCACAAATTTGACATGGAAGTCCTTACTTGGAACGCAGGCTCAATTACAAGTCGAGTTTGGAACGAGATTCTGGCCCTTTTGGCAACAACAGAGTACAAGAACATCAAAATCGTTTTCCTGCAGGAATCGCATTGGCAGCAGGACCAGGTCTACAGCTCAGGCCCGTGGTCAGTCCTAACCTGTGGCTCAACAAGCAGACACAAGGCTGGCCTGGTTGTCTTGGTGCATAGCTCACTGGCTCCTCTTTCAGAAATTCGCAGCACTTCCATTGTTCCAGGGCATTTGCAGCACGTCATGATCCCGTGGCAGAGATCCAGAATACATCTCCTGAACCTGTACCAGCACGTCTGGGATTCAAAGCTCTCGAAGACGGAAAACAGAGGCAGGAGAAAGGACGTGATGACACAGCTCGAAAATCGAATACAGAGAGTCCCACAACGTGACTTCTTGATTGTGGCTGGGGATTTCAATGCGCATGCGGTGACTGAACGTCCTCATATCGGACCAAGTGTGCCTCATCGAGTACGGTTTGCAAATGCGGATGTGAAGACACTGCCCTCGCTCTGCAAATCCTGTGGACTAACTGCGCTGAACACATGGGCTTCTGGCCATCGCAGTACGTATGCTAGCAGTGATGGCACATATTCCTCTCAGATCGATTTTTTGCTGGTCAGACTGCACGATGCTCGGAGGAGATCCAAGGAGGCCTACTCGGATAAGAACTTTCCGGTGGCAGCCTACAGAGATGGATCAAAACACTTTCCAGTGCGAGCCACTCTGTTCA